CAGAATCGAACATTAACTCTGCTTTTCCTGACAGATGCTGCCACACCTGTTATGTTTTGCCAAATATATGTTTTGTTTCTTTTATTAAAGATACATTGGCAGTCTCTTGTGAAGATATTCATTGACTGACCAGCACAAAAAAAAAAACAATTTGCAAAAACAATAACAGGTTTCACTCTGGGATCTGACTTGTCCAATATCAGTCCCCAAAATAAAACCAATTCCTTCAACAGGGATTTATTGAAAGACTCTGACTACTAATTCTCCGTTTACTAAATCACTCTTTAATCTAAGTTTTTATAATGGGACTGGTTTGTAACATCAATAAATCACAGAAGTGTTATGGTGCAGAAGGCTATTCAGCCATCATGTCTGCAATGGCTCTTTAAATGAGCATCATTACTTATTACTAACTTTCTGCTTTATCTCCAAACTATTACACATTAATTCTACACCTTCTCAAATGCTTTATTTATATCCCCACTTAATATTATTCTCTCTCTTTCTGTCTCCAACAACGGTTTCAAACATTCTTTGAAAGTTTTATCAAGTTAATTACTCCCCATTCTTCCTTGCTACCTTCCCCCAACTCTTGCCCTTTCCCATATTCTTGTAAAAATAATCCCCTTCCAATATTCCTCCACCATTTCTTCCTGTCTGCTCCCTCAAACCCCCACCCCCTTCAAATTTGAACATCTCGATCTGTTCTCCCGCACCCCCTCACCAGAACCACCTTCGATCCTGAGGAGGGGAGAAGTGCTGGCTTCTCCCAGTTTCTCTTCACCAACTTAAGATGCCCCTCACTCCCAGGGATTCCCTCCCCCTCCCCAAGGCCCATCAATGGCGTCCAGTGGAACCTCCCATCTTCTGTCACACAGCCTGTGTTAAGCCTGACCGTCAAACACAGGAACAGGAGTAGGCCATTCAGCCCCTCGAGACTGCTGCCCCATTCAGTAAGATCACGGCATATAGGGGAGATGTCAGAGGGAGGTTCTTCACACAGAGAGTGGTGGGTGTGTGGAATGCGCTGCCGGCAGTGGTAGTGGAGTCAGATACTTTAGAGGCTTTTAAGCGACTCTTGGATAGGCACATGGAGGAGAGTAAAATGTAGCGTATGCAGGGTAGATTGATCTTAGTAGGATAATAGGTCGGCACAACATTGTGGGCTGAATGGCCTGTACTGTTCTATGATCATCCAACACTGTGACCGACTTTCTGTCTTCCCCCCTCCATACCCTTCAATCCCTTTAGCTCTGAGAACTATACCCAACTTCTTCATGAAAACATTCAATGTTTTGACCTGGACTATTTTCTGTGGCACAGAATTCCACATGCTCCGCCCACCCCGCAACTCTCTGGGGGAATGCATTTCTCCTCATCTCAGTACTCCCGCATCACCCATCTCCTTACACTGTGACCCCTGGTTCTGTATCAAACCCCACTCCCCTCCCAGGTCATCGGGCACACCCGTCCTATGTCCACCCTGTCAGGCTCCAGTGGGTATGGTTCTAGCCAATCCAGTCTCTCATGCGTGGGTACTGCCATCCTGGGAATTGGTCTGGTGGACATTTTGCTGCACTCCTTCTGTAGCCGGAACATCCTTCGTCAGATACGGAGACTCCAAGACGCAGTATTCCAGGTGTGCCCTTACCATGTACAATGGCAGCAGGATGTCTTTGCTCCTGTTCTCAAATTCTCCCATTACAAAGGCCAGTGTACCATTTACCTTTTTTTTAATTCATTCACAGGATGAGGGCATCGCTGGCTAGGCAGCGTTTATTGCCCAGAGTCAACCACATTGCTGTCAGTCTGGAGTCACATGTAGGCCAGACCAAATAAGGATGGCAGTTTCCTTCCCTCAAAGACATTAGTGAGTCAGATGGGTTTTTCCCCCAACAATCAACAACAGGTTCAGAGTAATCATTAGATCCTTAATTCCAGATATTTTGTTGGATTCAAATTCCACCATCTGCCGTGGCAGGATTTGAACCTGGGTCACCCAGAATGCTATCCAGGTCTCTGGATTAACAGTCCAGTGATAATACCACTAGGCCATCACTTCCCCAGCTGCACCTGCACTGCTGACTTTCAGTGACTGGTGTATGAGGGGTATCCTGGTCTCATTGAACATTCCCCTTTCCATAGGCTCACCAGTCTCTGGCTGAAGAACTTTTTCCTCATTTCAGTGCTAAAAGATTTATTCCTTAAACTATTACCCCTAGTTCTGGACTCTTCCCCAGTCATTGGGAACATCCTTTCAGCATTTGCCTCATTTGTCACATAATTTTACTGGTTTCTATGAGATCTATGATTATGAAGAGATCTTGATCACTTGGTTCAATGGGCTAAAGAGTAGCAAATGGAGTTTAATTTGGATATATGCGAGGTATTGCATTTTCGTAAAACAAACAAGGACGGGACTTATATAATTAAAAGTAGGGCCTTGGGTTGTATTGTAGAACAGAGACACCTACAGGTTCAGGTACATAATTTGTTGAAGTTTGCATCATAAGTAGACAGGGTGGTTAAGAAGGTGTTTAGCATGCTTGCCTTCATTGCTCAGACCTTTGGGTGTAGGAGCTGGAACATCATGTTGAGGTTGTACAGGACATTGGTGAGGCCTCTTCTGGAGCACTGTGTGGTTTATAGGAAGGATATTATTAAACTGGAGAGGGTTCAAAAGAGATTTACCAGGATGTTGCCAGGAATGGAGTGTTTGAGTTTCAGGGAGAAGCTGGATAGACTGGGACTTTTTCCACTGGAACATAAGAGGTTGAGGGGTGACCTTGTTGAGATTTATAAAATCATGAGGGGTATAGATAAGGTGAATGGCAGGTGTCTTTTCCCTAGGGTGGGGGATTTCAAGACTTGGGGAACGTATTTTAAGGTGAGAGGAGAAATATTTAAAAAGAGATATGGAGGTTGCAATTGATTTTTTTTGAAACGCACAGTGATTTGTGTGTGAAATGAACTTCCAGAGGAAGTGGTGGATGCAGGTACAGTCACAGCATTTAAAAGCCATTTAGGTAAGTAAATGAATCAGAAATGTTTAGAGAGATATGGGCCAGAAGCAGGCAGATTTAGTTTGAGATTATGTCCGGCACGGACTGGTTTGGCCAAAGGTCTGTTTCCGTGACTCACTAATTCCTTTGGAAGAGAAACTATCAGCCAGCATCCAATAATTGATGCAATCTAGTGCTTCTATGGCAGTAGTGCAGACCCATGGACAGCACGGCACTCCAGTGTGCTCATGTAGCCTTCTGCCACCTGAGGAAAAAAGGTGTTTGAGGACACTATGACCATGGTTCACAGAGCTGTGGTGGTTCCATTCCTCCTACATGGCTCTGAGACATGGATTGTCTACAGCAAACACCTCAAGGCACTGGAGCAGTGCCACTGACACTGCCTACGTAATATTCTGCAAATCCACTGGGAAGAAAGATGCACCAACACCAGCATCCTCGATCAGGCCAACATTCCCAGCATCGAGGCACTGACCACCCTTGATCAGCAATGATGGGCTGGGCCCACCGTCTGCATGACTGACACAAGACTCCCCATCTCCATCTCCAAAGCAGCTCTACTCCCGTCTCCAAAGCAGCAGGCAAGCCCCAGGTGGACAAAGGAAGTGTTTCAGTGATACCCCCAAAGCCTCATTGGTGAAGTGCAGCATTCCCACAGATCACTGACCCAACACCGTCCAAAGTGGAGAAGGAGCATCCGGGAAGGCAAACCTCGAGAACTGCCATCGGAAAAATGCAGAAGTCAGGCAAACAGTAAAAGGAACACACTGCCACATCAAAGCCCCACCCACCCATTCCCACGACCACCTTTTATCCCAAGTGTAACAGAGTCTGCAGTAGGCGTATCAGTCTGCACAGGACTTATGGATTCACCCCAAAAGTGGAAGAAAGTCACTGTCTGCGAGGAACTGCCAATAAACAAATGAACCCTGAGTGCAGACCCTCCAGCAGCGCCTGTCGCCCTCAGCACTGACCCTCCACACCTGACAGTGCATAACTCATGAGTGAACCTCCCTCACTAGTGACTTCTCTGAAAAATGATCCTCCCACAGTCTGCCCCTCACAAGTGCTGCACTCCCTGTGTCCTTCAATGCTGACCCTCCCCTAGTGTTGCCCCTCGCTCGTCCTGCAATGGTGCACTTGGTCCTTTCGGTGCACAAGGCTCTGCAACCTCTCGACAGTCCAATAAAACTGGAGACGCACACCCAGGGAAAGCAAGCCGAAAGCACTGGAGGTGGGGGGATTCAGGTACACTCTGCTGAGAGGGGCTGTCAGAGCGTGTACCTCCCATTGCTGAGGCAGGTCTAAGGTAGTACCCTGAAGAAGCTGCAACAAGCAGCCTTTTCCCTCCCCAACTATACATCGATGTGATTTCTACGAGCGAGTTCCACCTTGACCTTTCCCCATTCATTCAGAAATGTCCGCCTCCTGACCTTCAGCAGCACGTGGGAGACAGCTCCCTACACTTCCGGGGTCCCTGCACGAGGGGTGGGCCGGAGATGGAGGACCGACCAATCGCGTCACCCCGCCGGTCTTATTGGCATAACCGGCGGCCCAGAGCACCAATCATCGCCCGCCAGCTGCAGGCGGGCCGTCCAATCGGGCAAAGAAGTTGCCGGGTGTGGGGTGGAGGGGTGCGAGGGCGCACGCGCGGGCGCTGCAACTCAACGTGCTTGTCGGCCTTGGACGGAAAGCGCCTGTGACCAATAAAAGGACGGCATCGGCGCGAGTGTGACCAATAGGAGCACACGGGACAGTGGGAGGCGGGGATAGAGGGAAGCGAGCAGCGAGTTAGGTTGCAGCTCGGCGGGGCCGGCTCTCTCACTCGGGAAAGGGGGTGTGAAAAAGAGGGGGGTTTCAGTGTCCCGGGAGGTCGGGGACACGTTGTAGTGATTGGGGGTGAAGAGTCGGCCCCCCCCCCCCTTCCCGCTGGGGGTTTCGGGTGTTGGTAGGTTCCGCTGCCCCCCCCCCCCCCCCCCCCCCCTCCCCCACACGGACCATGGGGAACGTGATGGCGGCCGCTTCCCCGGGGCCCACTGCCACCGCCACCGGCTTCACTGTGCCCCCGGGATTCGCCGTGCCCCCACTACCACTCGGCCCCGAGCAACAGCAGCTGCTGCAGCAGCAGCAACAACAACAGCGGGGGGCGGCTGGGCCCGGAGCCCAGGCCGAGGGCAAGCTGCCGAACCCGGGCACCTTCGAAGAATGTCATCGCAAATGTAAAGGTGAGGGGTAATGGGGGATATACGGGGGTAATTGGGGGGGGGCGAGAGAGAGAGGGGTAATGCGCGAGGGAGGACAATGGGATGGGGGTACAGAGTGGGTAATAGGGTGAGAGGCAATGGGTTGGGGAGGGGTGTGTAATGGGGGAGCTGGGTGATGGGGAGGGGGGTGTAATGGGGCGGGGAGGGTGATGGGGCGGGGGGGGTAATGGTGGTGAGAGGGAGAGAGAGGTAATGGGAGTTGGGAGTGGATTGGTGGAGGGTGATGGGGTGGGTGTCTAATTGGGGAGAGATGGAGGCAATGAAAGGGGGTAATGGGTGAAGTTGGATGGTAATGAGGAGAGGGGGGCAATGGGAGAGAGTTGATAACGGTACAAGTTGGGATGGTAATTGGAGAAAGGGGAATTACGATGTGTGGAGGGGTGATGGGGACATTGAAGTTGGGGGGTGATCTGTTGCATATTGGGTATGGAAGGGTATCTGATTGGGGGGGGTGCTGTCTGAATGGGATGAAGGTTGTGGATGGGAGTGGTGGAGGATGTGGGAGAATATGTCTGATTCTTGGGGTGTTAGATGGGTGGGGTGGGGTGGAGGAGTTGATGGAATGGGGTGTGGGGAATGGAAATTGAAAGGCCAGGTTGGGATCAGGGTTGTGGGGAAGTGATTGGCAGACTGGAGTATGGGGATGGCGGTGAGGGATTGGGGGTGGGGGGCAGTATTAGTGCACTAGGGAGGTGTGGGGGTGTGTGTAATTGATGGTTTGGTGGGGGGGGGGGGGTTGGAAAGCAGGATCTGATTGGGTGGAAGGTGAACGTCTCTAGGGAATGGGGCTGTGTGAAGGCCCCTGATTGACTGGATGTTGCATGTGGACTGATCAGGGTGCAGGTAGATTGGAGGGTGTGTGGGGGCTGATTTCGGGGATAGGGTGTGGTGAAGGGGTGCCATCAGTGGAGGTGGGAGGGAGGATGGTGCAACAGCAGCTGACCAACTAGGATTGGGAGCTCCTATGATGCTGCTTGGCCTGCTGTGTTCATCCAGCCCTGCACCTTGTTGTCTTGGGAGCATAGGTCTGGTCTGCTGGAGGAGGGGGGTGCTGGGAGCAGCTTGGGTTGGGGAGTAGTTGCTGACAGACATGGAGGAAGTGGTGAGATGGCTGACCAATCTGTTGTGGTGGTGTTGGTTGGGGGGGGCGGTCGGTGCAGCGGTGGTGGTCACCAGGTTGATGGACTGGGGAGGAGCGAGGAGTCTGGCCCACCATGGAAGACACTGATGAATCAATGGTGGGGGAGAGAAGGACGGGGTCTTTACCATCTCCTGGGGCTAGAGATGTCAGGCTTACTGAAACTTCACCCCTCGCCATGGAAGCGGAAATCTGTTGAATTTCCAAAGCAGCTTCGATGGCTTTGATTGTCTTTGGGATGTTAGAACAATCAGCTAAAACTTGTAGATTCTTGTTGGATTTAGTAACATGAAGCAAGGTGAAGGAAAGGCAAGCAAGTGGTTCGAGATACAGATCTTCAGTGATCTAACAGGAGGCTGGAACAGTCTTGATGGGCTGAATAGTTCCCTTCTATCAACTCGCCATTTGATGCGTCCTGGGTTTTGTAGCAGGGAAGGGCCCCTCCCACTGTAGGCAACAGAGCACTTTCTGAAGTGAGTACATGACTATAGCTTTGGGACTGTCGCATGCCATGTTGATGAGGCAACATTATTTTAGAATAAGACCGTGTTGACTTTATTCTGTTGCACAGATTGTGTTGACGGGTTTCGATGCTTTTCTCACTTGGCTGCACTGGGCCTGTGAGTTGGGTCGGTTTAGGATCTGGCCGTCCAACGTGCACTGGAGCAATGGCCAGTCCCACGTCCGATGGAAAAATCCGCAGCAAGCAGGCCCTGGACCAAAAAAAGGGCCCATACTCCCAGTGCCAGCACTGAGGGAATATTGACCTGTGTCAGGGGGCAGCTTTCGTGTGAGGCTCAACCTTTTACCCCACCCCCAAAAGAGGTCTCTTGTCACTCCCCCGCAAACATCCCGCGGTCGGTGTTTTGGAAAGGATGTTCCCCCTGTGTCATAGGTCATTACTTATCAGCATCACTTTTTAATTTGGAAAGAATGTCAGTTTTATCTCATTGCTGTCATTGAATTAACTTGTGGGGTGTAAACTCTGCTGTTAAGGGTGACATTTATTCGTTACCCTTCCACAAGCGCCTTGAGAGAGTGGTGTTAGAACTGCTGCCTTTAACAACTGAGCGGCTGGCTCGGCTTTTTCAGAGGTCAAAAAGGAATGGGTGTGGAGTTACATGTAGACCCAGACCGGGTAAGAATGGCAGATGCCCATTCCTAAAGGGCATCAGCAAATTGGATGGATTTTTTTTTTCCAGCAGTCCGGTCAATTTATTGGCTCAATTATTGCAGACTTCTTTTTTGTTGTCACATGTACCTAAATACAGTGAAAAGTTCTGCATTGTGTGCAGTACGGGCAAATCATAGCAAACAAGGGCTACTGACCCCTTCTCCCGCTTCCAACACACCCCCTCCTCCTGGAAACCCTCCCTCTACTGACCCCTTCTCCCGCTTCCAACACACCCCCTCCTCCTGGACACCACCCCAAGGCCTCCTACCCTCCCTCGACCTCTTCATCTCCAACTGCCGTCGAGACATCAATCGCCTCAACCTCTCCACCCCTCTCACCCACTCCAACCTCTCCCCTGCAGAACGTGCAGCCCTCCGCTCCCTCCGCTCCAATCCCAACCTCACCATAAAACCCGCGGACAAGGGAGGTGCAGTTGTAGTATGGCGCACTGACCTCTACATCGCCGAGGCCGGACGCCAACTCTCCGACACCACCTCCTACCGCCCCCTTGATCATGACCCCACCCCTGAGCACCAAACCATCATCTCGCAAACCATCCACAACCTCATCACCTCAGGTGACCTCCCACCCACGGCCTCCAACCTCATCGTTCCCCAACCTCGCACTGCCCGCTTCTATCTCCTTCCCAAAATCCACAAACCTGAATGCCCTGGTCGACCCATTGTCTCCGCCTGCTCCTGCCCCACCGAACTGATCTCCAACTATCTCGACTCCATTTTCTCCCCCTTGGTCCAGGAACTCCCTACCTATGTCCGTGACACCACCCACGCCCTCCACCTCCTCCAGAACTTCCAATTCCCCGGTCCCCAACACCTCATCTTTACCATGGACGTCCAGTCCCTCTACACCTGCATTCCCCATGCAGATGGCCTTAAGGCCCTCCGCTTCTTCCTGTCCCGCAGGCCCGACCAGTCCCCCTCCACTGA